TAAGACCATTTCATTTTTAATGTTCTGAGTTTTATTATTATTTTTTTTTTCTGTTTTTTTTTTTTTTTTTTTTTCTTCTTCTTCTTCTTCTTCTTCTTCTTCTTCTTCTTCGTCTTCTTCTTCTTTTTCTACATCTAATTTGCTTTGTTTGATTTTCTTTCATATCTGTAGAGTTTTCCCTTACATTTAAAACTTTTTTTTATATTCCTCACATTTGCAGAAATCTACATCATAATGGCAAAGTATCACTGAATGGTGTGAGTTAAGTTTAGCATTTACTCAAAATTTCATATCTTTTCTGAAAGTTATTCTGCTCCATTTGTTATTATTTATTTGCTTCTATTTTCTTTCTTGTCACAGATGTCCTGCTTCCATCATACTCGCGTGAAGAGCAAATACCGACCTTCATGTCATGGCTCAAGGAGAAAGGTGTAAAGGTTAGTTCAGTCTCAGGATTTTTATCTTGTTTGGAAAGTGTGAATATGTAAGAAAAGTTTTTGCTTTCCACCAACTTCATTTTCCTTTGAATGTGACCTTTTTATTGAAATATTCTTTTCCATTGTTTTAAATCATGAAATGTCATAATACCTTCTTTTAAACTAGTTTTATTATTTTTTTATAATGATAGTGTGCCCTTTCCAACTTGCTCATTATCTGCTAGCTCATTATTTCTATTTTTCTCTCTTTTGTCTCATTTGGTTTCTTGTTTTATCTTTATCCCTCTTTCTGTTCTATTCTGCTCTTCTTGTCTCATCATCATCTTCCTTTCTCTTCCTCTTCTATTCTTCTCATACCATCTCATCTCCCTTTTACTACTCTTTCTTTCTCCCTAATCCTCCCTTTTTCTCCTTCATTATCTATCTTTCTCACCTTCATTCTCTCATTTTTTCTCACCTTCATTCTCTCATTTTTTCCCCCTTCACTCTCTCACTTCCCCCATATCATTCTCTCACTTTCTCCATTTCACAATCTCTTTCCCTGTCTCATACCTCATTCCCTCTGATCTCATTTTGAAGTCTTACACGTGTCAGCTTTAACCTCATTGTTTACACCCATTCAAGATCAGCGGAGTGGAGATCAGCGACTTTGGCAATCAGGGCTTCGGCCTGATGACCACCGAGGACCTCCAGCAGGGGGTGGAGGTGATTGACGTCCCTCTGGAAGCCATGATGACAGAGGACACCGCAAGAAAGTCTTATCTTGGTAAGTTCTTTGGGAGGTAATCCATTGTGTCAAAGATACAGTGGCAATTATTTAAAAATTGCAGGAGGCTGAAATGAATTCTAAGGGATGAACACCTCCTTTGCATCCCCTGGTAAATCTGGGTATGTGAGTGAGTGAGTAGAATGAGTGGATGAGTAAGTAGGTGGGTGGGTGGATGAGTGAGTGAGTGTAAGTAGGTGGGTGGGTGGATGAGTGAGTGAGTGTAAGTAGGTGGGTGGGTGGATGAGTGAGTGAGTCCTATCATGGTAGGTTCTTTGGGGGGCATTCCCTTGTCCAATATAGTAGCAAATATTGGAGCATATGAATGATATTTGAGAGAGTTTCACATGTCAGGATGTGTAATGAACATCAGAGTTACATAGTCTTAACTTATGTAATTATTCTGTTGTTAGTATATCTATAATGTTAAATGGGCTTTGTAATATTGTGTTCTGTAACTAAGAAGCACTTGTGTTACTATGTATTATAACTCGTGAATGTATCAACAGGTCCCTTGATAGAACGTGACCCCATCTTGCAACACATGGGGAATGTGTCTTTAGCACTGCACGTTCTCGGAGAATATGTTAACCCCCAGTCACCATGGCAGCCCTATCTGCGCATCCTTCCAGCCTCATATTCAACCACGCTGTACTTCTCTCAAGATGAGATCCTGGGCCTAAAGGGCTCACCAGCACTAGGTGAGGGCTGAAGAGGGTCATTTGGGAGATGTGATGGTCGCATGTGTAGTGCGAATTTGTTCTGCACATTGGTGTAATGATGTAATGGGCGTGCTAGAAATATTTGAATTGCCGTATACCTTTTTTTTTTTCATAATTTCAGTTCTCTCTTTTTTTTCTGTCCTTTGTGAACCATGTTTTTCCAGCTATTTCAAAAGTTCATATATCTCTTTATATCATTTTTTGAGCCAGCATGCATTTCCTAAGATTTGTTAAGTTCTTTTGCTTTTTCTTTAATTTTTGAAGTCCTCTGTCTGTCTGCTATTTCTGAAACATTTGCACTTTTTCTTTCATTTCTAAAGTTATCACGCTTTTTCAGTCATCTGTAATATTTTAAATACCATTTCTATATTTCTATATTTCTTTTTTTCATTTCTGCCTTCCTAAGAACATGACCATAAAGAACCCAGAATACATTAAATTATTTTCCCTTACCAAGCCAAATAACCCTTTGCAGAGGAAGCAGTGAGACAGTTCCGGAACATTGCACGCCAGTATTCGTACTTCTATCGGATACTCCACTCGTTACCGGAGGCGAGAAGTTGGCCCATCAAGGACTACTTCACCTTTGACGCGTACAGGCGAGTGTCGTTCTCGGGTGATTTTGGGTCCCGAGATAAGGAAACGTTTGGTGGAGTGTTTGATTGTTGATGTTATTAAATTTTTTTGTTTTAGAGTGATAGATATAGGTTTTGTAGATGTGATTCCAAGGTAATTTGTGATTATAAGTGAATTATAGCAAGTTAAATGCCACATTTAATGAATCAGATTTTTTTTTTTTTTTTTTAAGTAAAATTGTTTTATTATAAAATTCAAGATGGGTGGAAAATGTTTGATTATAAGCTTTTGTTTCATGTTTCCTCTCTGTGCATACATATGTAACTGCTTTTGTGTGTTTGTGCTAGAGTGAGAGATTTCATGTTGAATTAAATCCTGAAATCTTGCCAAAAATATATATGTGCCTCAATGCCTTTAAGACAATATATTTTTGTATACTTAGTTAATATAGTCACCTTCTTTGTGATTATTTTCATAATGGTATAGCAATTCTGTCACATTTTGATCTTTAGAATAACAGATATTTAAGTAGTTTTATCTGGCTTATGATAGATTTTGAAATGCTGGATTTAAGCAAAGAATATTAAACTGAAAACTTGACAAGAATTTGCATATTGCTTATAATGTGTTTTTAAAGGCCTACCCCATAGCATTCCTTTAGAAACATGAAAAATACAATTGAATAGTACTAATATACATTCAAAACTGTATTGATGTTTTAGACTTTAATAGTGTAATGTAGTTTCATGCTTATTGTTTTTATAATAATTCCTTTTCCTGAACATGGTGTTACATTTGTAGGACTCATGTTGGATAAATTGTAAATAAAATAAAGGAAAGAACAAGAAAAAAAAACACAAATATGCCAAAACAAAGTTATTATATTGATGAGCCTTAACGGGAGCTTCCTGTGCAATGTCTACCTTGCTCCTCTTAACACTGTTCTCCTGCTGTTCCAGATGGGCTGTTTCGACAATCATGACGCGCCAGAACAGAGTCCCGACCAAAGGGGCTAGTGGCCAGCTGGCTCTCATCCCCGCCTGGGACATGTGCAATCACGAACAAGGAATTGTATGTGCAGTGTTGTCTTTGTTTTTCGAGCTGAGAATTTAAATGACTTTATATTCGCATTGTAAGAGATATGTTTGACAGGTTTTAACTTCATATTTCTGAAGAAGGTTTGGTTGAGAAGTCAAATACTTCTTATTCATACCTGTTTCTAATCATGAATGTAGCTTTGGTTGAGGTTTTACTATATTATAGGCCTATATATTACTATTATAGGTCTATATTGTAAGTTCACATTGTGTCTGTATATACTCTCGAGTTGCTCTTTCCCAAGTCTGTCTACTTACAATGTGCTATTGTTGGCAGTATTCTACAGACTACGATGAGGAGAAAAACTGTTGCGTGTGTTTAGCACAGAAGGACTTCAAAAAAGGAGACCAGTTCACAATCTACTATGGGAAGCGTCACAACGTGGAACTCTTCCTACACAATGGCTTTGTCGAAATAGGTGCGTCCTTTTTGTAAAGATCCAGATCCTGCCTTCTTCTGTGCATGTCTAAAGGAAGATGCAGAACATAACTTGCTTTGTCTTACTGAACCAGGTGTTATAATATCTACAAGCATTATGCCATCATTAGTATAATTCATAAGAAAATAACTTTGAATAAAAATGACTTTAAATGGAGGCACCATCCCCTGTGACTATCACTTGCAGACTAATTCCCAAGTGTTCAATTAAAATCCCAACCAACGTGTTTCCATCTGCACTCGTCCTCACTCCTCCTTTCCCACGTAGGCAATGAAAACGACAGCCTCGCCATCAAGCTGGGAGTGAGCAAGAACGACCCACTGCATGACGAGAAGGTGGCGCTCTTGACCTCCCTGGGTCTGCCCTCCTCCGGCTCCTTCATGCTGATCCCAGGCCTGCATCCCATCTCTCCCGGCCTGCTGGCTTTCACGAGGATCTTCTGCATGGATAAGGGTGAGGAAGTTCTTTTCATTTTCTCTCTGTCTGTTTTTTTTTTTTTTTTTTTATCTTCTCTCTTTCTCTTTTCTGTTTTTTTTTTTTTTTTTTATCTTCTCTCTTTCTCTTTTCTGTTTTTTTTTTTTTTTTTTTTTTTTTTTTTTTTTTTTTTTTTTAATCTCTCTTTCTCTTTTCTGTTTTTTTTTGTTTTTTTTTAAGTATGGGTAAGGACTTTTTTCTCTCTTTTTAGCTGTTTTGTATTTTTGTTGATGGTTATTTGTTACGTGATTTTGGATTTATTTTAGATTTGTTTGGTCTGTTTTTGTTTTGTTTGTTTTCACATGTTCTTTATGTATTTGTGAATTATTGATGTTAATAAGTTTTCAATCCTTTTTTTTTTTTTTTTTTTTTTTTTTTTTTTTTTCCATTTTAGTTATTTATTTTATTTATATAGATTTTTTTCACTTCAGGAAGTGACACATTTTTAAAGTTTTTAGTTTTACTGGGTAATTTTCTTTATATCACTT